AAAGAGTGTGTGTTTAATATTTTCCACTAAAAGCCACAAGGAAATCTGGTGTACTGGCTGTGCCATCTAACAATTTAGCCAAGTAAACAATTCCAACATTCTAACTACTTTCATATGTCACTGCACAGAGCAGCAAAGCCATTCTCATTTAACTCTTTGAAGACATCAAGAACATTTATTTGCATAAAAGTGTCCTAAGAGCTAAAATTGAAAAGAAAAAGAAAAAACTCTCTAAAAGAAACTACTACTTACCAAACCATTTTTGTTGCAACAGAACACAAATGCACAGAGGTCTCAAAAACCAGAAGCCTGTAAAATAGTAGACCAAGTATAATCTACCCTTCGCAAACCTAATAAAGCTATCCAAAAAGTTGAATTTATATTTTGCCTTGAGTCTGCTTAAAGTAGGTATACTGATCTGTGGGTGTATTATATAAATGCATCATGTGTCACAAAACTGTTGGAAATGCTTCTGTTACACAAACAGTGGGGTTTTGTTCATACTAGGCTTTATGGAGACATTTTTGATGTTTCTCAATTGCTGATAAATTTGCAATCTGTAAATGGGGAACACAATGAATAACTCAATGACTCTAAGAAAATATTCTTACTTGGGTCTATTAACTAACCCAGGCAGAGGAGGTTTCAAGCATTTTAACTAGTTCAGATACCTTTAGAATGTTAAGAATCAGAATATTATTCTCACAGCAGACTTTGATGCAAATATATATATCATAGTTTGGTATTATTTTAAAATTATCTACAGTGCCTTTACCACTACATACTCATATAGTTTCCTATACTTCCTAGAAAGAATTCTGAGGAAAGCCATGCTTTTAAACACTTTCAAATATTACCTTAGTTTGGTGCTCAAAGCTCAGGATTGGTAGCCTGGCAGAATAAAACCCAGATTTCTGGCTAACTAACTTTGGAAGAGCTCAACACAGTAACCAAATCTTCACATATGTACCACATAAACATTGTTTATTTACCTGTAAGGACAAGTTTTTATAAAAATTGCTTCAGAATAATAGCAATTTTATTTTTGAATGGGTTATTTTTAAAAGTTCACCAAGCAATGTCACTGGATCTTCAATGATACATGATACTCACTGAAAGCTTTTTTTTAGTATTTTGTGTACAGGAAACAAGGTTTTTCTGATTTCTGTCTATAAATAATCTCCTGGAAAAAAATGACCAATTTGTCTCTAAAAAAGAAACAAGAAACCCACTTAAACACCACCAGCATCCTCTTGCTCTACGTATGAGTACATAGTTCACCACAGCTCTACTGGCCAGGCCCATATAATATATGAAATTAGTCTTCAAAGACTGAGAAATATGTAAGGAAAGCACACAAAGAAAGAAAAGAAGTAACTGCAGATTACAATTATAAATTATAATTTAATATACTTGCTAGATAACACTGTACAACTAGGCTTAATTTGACCTCAGACTTAGAAATTTACAGTTTATAACTCCTACAATTGATTCAAAACCTAGCTACATCAAGAATCCAGCAAGAAATCCAATTAGTCTATTTAATGCTATGAGTATGACGTCATGCTTAAGGCAAAAAGCAAAATGGTAATTTAACACTATAACTCTAAAACAAGTTATTAAAAAAAGCACAAGGGCATGTTTTGACAGTAATTTTATAGCAGCATAGCTTCATAGTTGGTAGGGTTGGAAGGGACCTGAGGAGATGATCTAGTCCGACCCCCTGCCATGGCAGGAAAGAGTACTGGGGTCAAACGACCCCAGGCAGATGTTTGTCCAGCCTCCTTTTAAAGATCCCCAGGGTAGGAGCCAGCACCACTTCTTTTGGAAGTTGGTTCCAGGTCCTACCCGCCCCGACAGTGAAATAGCACTTCCTAACGTCTAGCCTGAAACTACCCTCTGCTAGCTTGTGTCCGTTGTTTCTTGTAACTCCAGGGATTGCTCGGGGGAACAGGGACTCTCCCAATGCCTGCTGGTCCCCCTTGACTAGTCTGTAAACTGCCACTAGATCTCCTCTCAGCCTTCTCTTTTGGAGGCTGAACAGGTTCAGGTCCCTCAGCCTCTCCTCGTAGGGCCTGTCCTACTGACCCCTGATCATGCGGGTGGCCCTCCTTTGGACCCTCTCCATATTGGCCACATTGCTCCTAAAGTGTGGCGCCCAGAACTGGATGCAGTACTCCAGCTGCGGCCTGACCAGTGTTGCGTAGAGGGGGAGGATCACCTCCTCGGACCTGCCTGAGATGCATCTGTGGATGCACGACAAGGTATGGTTGGCCTTCCTGACCGCGTCCCCACACTGTCAGACCAAGTTCATTGTGGCATCAATGACGACTCCAAGATCCTTTTCTGTCTCAACACTGGCGAGAAGGGAGTTCCCCAGCCTGTAGGTGTGCCGCTGGTTCTTCCTCCCCAGGTGCAGTACTCTGCACTTGTCAGTGTCGAACCCCATTCTGTTCTCTTCAGCCCACCCCTGTAACCTGTGTAGATCCGCTTGCAACCTGTTCCTTCCTACTAGCGTACCCACTTCCCCCCACATCTTAGTGTCATCTGTGAACTTGAACAGGGTGCTTTCTACCCCCTCGCCCAAGTCACTGATGAAGATGTTGAATAGTGCGGGCC